AGAACTTTTAGGGTGCAGTCCAATAATTTCTGCCCTTGATGAATACCTGAAGTTGGAGGCCTTCAAAGTGCGGTTGCAGCTCTCTCTACAGCCTCCATGCTTCACACCTAGATAAAGCGAGGGAGGGAAGGGGCCCAGTACAAATAGGTGTACATAGACAAAGCCTCTTCTATCCAGTGCAGGGCATGCCCCTTTTCACACTCTCCAAGGTGCACTTGCATCCTCAGAAAAGTAGCTGGTGCATTTCTTTCCAAGTGGGGCATGGGGCAGGAGCATGCAGGACCTTCATGCTAGGACTTAAGAAATTTCTATGGCCTTCCAGTGTGGCGAAACCATAGGATTTTACCCTCAGTTATTTATGTTATCAGCTTTGAAATGGTGTGAAACTAGACTGCTATACATACACATGCATTTCAAAGGTAGAATGCATTTAAGTACATAATACAACCTGGCTGTCTTTAAACCATGTTGATATTTGAAATACTTAGAACAATGTAAAGCAGTGTAACTGTGTTATGTTGAGAAAGGTATTTTAAAGGGCTTCTCTACATTAGGCATGTATTGTGCACTGATGATTCCTCACTTAAGGAAGTTTGTGGGTCTTTTCATTACATTGTCATACTCCCAGTGTTTCTCCTGAGTTTTGCAGCCATTTTTACGGGGTATTTTAGAATAAGTCAAGTCTGTTTTTTTCCTAGATGGTGCCATTACGGACTACAGAAGCCTGATATAGCTTTATAATTCTCTTTCATACCACAGTGCCACCTTGTACAGTGGTACCTTGGCTCACAAACACCTCAGTCCACAATCAAATAGGGTTGCGAACAGAAATTTCAGAAAGATTTTGCCTCAGGTTGCGAACTCCACATCGGGTGACAATTGTGATTGCGCCCATCTTCCCTGAATGAGCACGACCGCAATCACACTCGAGCGGGAGGGGAGATGGCCACGATCGCGCCCGTGTTCCCTGCCTGAATGCAACCATATTCGGTCCAGTCTATGGCTGTGATTGCAGTCATGCTCATGCTGGGAACACGGGTGCAATTGCAGTCGTGCTGTGGGGGGGGGGATGGCTGCACTCGAGTGGGGGAGATGGCCTCAATCTTTGTTGTTCTTTGTCACTTTGCTTCAAATTTTTGTGATTAAAAAAATAGTTACAGAACAGATTAACCTTACTTACATTGAACCTTATGGGGAAATTTGACTTGGCTCATGACCCATTTGGGTTGTGACCAGAGTCGTGGAACAGATTAAGTTCGTGTGCCAAGGTACTACTGTATAGTGTAATAGAGTTACATGAAAATATAGAAAGGCAGAGATGAAAACCACGGGGAGTGGGAACATGTGAGAATGATGCTCTAATCCTTCCAGAAAAAGTATAGAAGAAGTAACCTTGGTAGAGCACTGGGTTCTGTGCTTCATGTAGAGAAGCCCTCAGTCATTTATTAAAATCAGTTCTGAAGGGTTTCAATGAGTTTATCATGCCCAGTGGGATCATTTATTCTCTTTGAACAGGATGCGGTATGGCAAGCTGCTTTTGAAACTGCTTTCATTCCTTGAAACTGCTTGCCATATTATATGGACAACATGCTATTCAACCCATCCTCAAATCTTCTTGAAATGTATGGAAACAGTTGCAAAATGCTTTAGAACCTGCCCATAAATGTTTTCTAAAATAGAGATGTGTTTATCCCTGTTTCTGCAATTCTGAAGGCTGCTTTCTAGTACCAATATAATGTACTGAAGTAAACTCTATGTTGAAATAAATTAAAGTCAGTTAGACTAAAGTAATTCCAGCACTATTTTGTGTACCACTGTCATCTTTTCAGAAGTGAATGAACAGTAGATGGCCAAATAAAGACAGGTTATGTTTGCCCAGTATCAATTTGCTCTAAAGGAATTGGTTCAAAATTTTCAAGTACATTTATTTAGATCACTTTTTTAAAAAATCAAGGCAGATTGTTAAACAAAGGAACTCCAACTTTGATAATAGAGAGAAATCAGTCTAGTGTATGCAGTACTCTTGAATAATTTTTAATAGGATATGCTGGTCATCACTTTAAGCTCAATCAGAAAATAGAGCTACTTTTGGTGAAGACATGTATATAATTGATTACTGCACTAAAGTTTTAATTGTTTTTGTATGAAATTAGATGAACTTACAAGAAAAAATAAGTTTTGCTACCAGTGTGTGTGACCTGCATGAAATGCTTATTTTGCTAACACAAACTTCTGCTGCTTGCAAAAGAACCCTTTTTTTTCTTTGTACAAGTGTCAGATGCAGTGTTCAGCACAAGGCATTCTACAAGGTGGTGCACAGTGGTTATTCGTTGATGAGGATAGGGTGTTGCTTATTCTAGTATTTCTGCTAGCAATATGACAATGTAATTTTCCACTAGTGTGATATTGGATATAAGCCTATGCTTTTATACATGGATACAAGCAGGCTGATTTATTACATAATACAGTGGTACCTTGACTCACGAACTTAATCTGTTCCACAACTCTGGTTGTGACCCAAATTGGTTGTGACCCAAGTCAAATTTCCCCATAAGATTCAATGTAAATAAGGTTAATCCGTTTTGGCCCCTCCAAATGTGGTTGTGAGCCAATTTTTGGTCACAGGCCAAGTCAAATTTCCCCATAAGGTTCCATGTAAATAAGGTTAACCTGTTCTGTGACTCTTTTTTTTAATCAGAAAAATTTGAAACAAAGTGACAAAGAACAACAAAGTACAGTACAGTACAGTGGAGAACACTAACCTAGGTGGGGCGGAAGTTATTGTTTTCAGGGAGAGTCCCCCTCCATAAGAACACTGGGGAGATCTCTTTCAGGGGTTTCCTCTCTTCTTTGTCTCTTAGCTGCAGGGTCAATTTTGATGAAAAATCTGTCTATAGTCACTTGTTTTTTCCCGTGCTGCATAATCTTCCGGAAATGAGAGACCACATTATTGCTCACCAGATTCAACACTCTGTTTGTTACAGTTATGTCAGGGTGGTGCTTCTCAAAGAAATCCTGGCACTCATCCCATTTTTTCATAATGGATTGTATTCACATCCCTGCCAACCTCCTCCCTGTCTTCCTCTTCCTCAGTGGAATCCTCCTCAGCAAGTGCCTTCTGCTGCTCACTCTGGAGTTCAGCAGGTTCTTCTGTTGTCAGCTCCTCTATGTCTTCCCTGCATTAGCGCAACTGCGATCATGGCCATCTCTCCACTCCGGGGGGCGGGGGGGGGGAGATGGCCATGATCATGCTGGTTGGGGGGGATGGCAGAGATTGCACCTTTCTTTCCTGCTGGAGCGCGCCCGTGATCATGCACGTCTTCCCTGCACAAATGCAACTGCAGTCATGGCCTTCTCCCCATTTGGGGGCAGGGGAGGGGAGATGGCCACGATCTTGGTTGGCACCCAGTGCAGAGTTCATGACTTAAGTCAAAATTTTCATGAAATTTTTGTTTGTGACCCAATTTGGTTGGGATCCAAGGCGTTTGTGAACCGAGGCACCACTGTACTGTCAAAATAAGTCAGGATCTGCCACTTATCAGCCTACTGACAGAGCAAAAACATATGTTGGGATTCAGACAAGTGTGAAACCAGTTCCATGATGCTTTGCTTTACTTGATATTTCTAAACTTTCTTTGTTTGTTCCTTTAGACTGCAATCACTTGCCATCACAGTTGCACGTACAAACTATGCTTAAAACTGATCTGAGTTTGAAAAGTAGTTCATGATGTAACATGGGGAAGTCCATGTAAAAAAAGAAGCACTGTTAAATATGCTTTGTGTGAGCTTAAGCAACCTTATTTAGCTACTTATTTAGCTATGCCTAACATTCCTTTTAAAAAATCAAATCACAATTGTAAGGGCAGTGAAATGACTTACTGATGAACAATTCCACTGCATGCATTATGACCAGACTAGAGCTTTGTTTCCAAGTGAACAAGCTTTTCCAGTCACTACAATGTAAATGATAGCTTGATTTTTATATGACATTGTATATTTGGAGGAGCCTTCAGTCATTTCCTTATTAAATTCCTTGAATGTTCAGGAATATCTGTCTGCCTAGAGCAGGAGTTAGGGTTAGGGGAGAATAGTTCAGAATTGTACACAATTTTCTCAGTCCGGCAAACTCTCTTTTTTGAAAAAGGATATTGTATTGGCTAATCTGTTGTGGCAGGTATAGAAAATCATGCTGTATGTGTTGGGATAGTAAAACTTCTACTCTTCCCAAAGTTCAGAGACTTGTACCAGGGGAGAATTTGGTTTAATGGTGTTTCTGTTTGCTGGGGTATATACATGCAACTTTTGCCGATCCCTCATTTTAACCTTCTCACCATCTTTTAAAAGCTGTGCTTAACAGGTGGGAGCCCTCTGGGGAAAAATGTGAAATGAGTTTGAGAACTGTGGTATATAAAGGGGCCTGATTTGTGTGAGTTTGTTTTTCTTGTTGTTATCTCTATTTTATCCACACACAAAAACTGTGGGGTAGTTTGGGCTATGTGAATAACAGGCCCAAAGTCACCCAGTGAGCTTCATGGCTGAATAGAGGCTATAATCTGGATCTCCTGAGTCCCAGTCCAACATTCTAATGCCTACACCACACTGCTGTCCTGACTTAACATAAGCTTATGACCCACACTTACAGGGACTTCCTCATTCATGGAGAGTGATTGCATGGGGAATAATTGCTATCCTCAATCTCCATCACAAAGGGATTTAACAGATTATTCACACCTGTCAGGATAGGATAGACATTTTCTGAGTCTGTCAGTATAGCACATGTAAAGCACCGAATGTCTCAAGGCATAGCATATTTGTTATTGCGCAATTTGTTGTATTTACCGATAAAAAGGTTAAATATGCTATATATGTTACCACATATCAGTTTCGATCTCAGCAATGATCCCTTGATTTGATAAGCTTTATATTATTTAGGAAACAATGTTTGCTGGTAAATCTTCTGCTAAATTGAATGAACATTCTGTATTCTTTGTGTTTTACAGTAATAACAAGTAGTGGTTACAGTCCCAGATCATCACATCAATACTCACCGCAGCTATATCCTTCCAAGTTAGTGAGCATGCATCTCCTAATGTATTATTGCATGTTATTTCTTTTAGGTCATTTATTTAAAGATTTTAAAAATTGAGGTACTGGATAAAATCAATGACTGCTTTGATAGTAAATGCTTTGTATATGAAGACATGTACTCTGACCTAAACTTATTACATGGTAGCTCAATACTATTGATATTAATTGAATTACATACATATTTTTAAGAAAAAGATCAAGGTATGTTTATTCTGTTCCTAAATATTGCTGCTTTAATATCAATACAGATTTGCTCCCTGATCTATAATTTCAAAGTCAGTCACAATTTACAACCCCAAAATTATTTAGATCAGAGTAATTCTTTAGATGTAGCTAAATAGTAGTTTGGAATGCTAAATATATAACTCATGTTGGTAAAATTCTTCAAGTACTTTTAGTGGTACTTTCTATGGCTCATTCTACACTGAATGGAGTCACCACAAAGCCTTTGCCCAAAGTGGCATACACATAGCACAGATATGATAGGCTTAATTCAGGTTAAGGGCACTTAAGAAGAACTGTGCTGGATCAGAGCAAATACCTATCTAGTCCAGCATTCTGTTTTCACATTGTCCAACCAGCTGTCTGTAGGAAGCCCCTAAGCAGTACATGAGCACAACACTATGTTCTCTAGCAGCTGGTATAGACAGGCATACTGCCTGTTTCTGGTACTAGACAATATATAACAATATAAAGCTACCATGGTCTATAAGGCATTGATAGTCTATTGCTCTATTCCCTCCTCCTAATAGGGGAGTAGCTTCAGTCCTTTGATGATTTTGGCTATAATTTTATGTATATTTTCAAGTCTTTCAATAGCTTTTTTGAGTTGTAATAACCAGACCTGTATGTCGTCGTTCAAGTGTGCTTGCACCATGTTTGAGTAAGGCATTATTTAATCGGTAGCTTTCAGTTCCTTTTCTAATCATGTCTAAGGTCTTATATACATGAGGATTTTAACTCACTGCTTTATCAAGGCTTCTGTTTGTAGGATTCTTTTTGGGTTTAAGATCATCTCCTTTATATCTGCTTTTTCCCTGGGTTTTTTCCCCCTCTGTGTGTCATTACACCACCACAAGGTGGCACTGTGTTATAGTGCAACTGCAGAAATACACAAGTTTTAGCACATTTCAGCATGATAGCCAGATACTAGCTCACTTTCCTCACTCATAAAAAAAAAAGCACAGAAATTGCTGGGAAGCATGGAAGAGGTCATGGAGGATGACAACATTGTGTAAAACACCCACAAACTACCATGAGTGAGGAATCATACATGCACAATAAATACCTTGTGTAGTGAAGTCCTAACAAATGTTTACTTACTATTAAGGGGAATGAAGGGGCAACAGAAGTCTTTCAGTATATAGCAGGGGAGCATCCAAGCACTGTCTGAGAGATATGTCAGTGTTTTCCTGAATTCCCCATAGACTCTACTAGATGTTTCTTAACACATAGGGCAGAAATAGAAAATGCTAACATAATTTAGGTATGCCATAACTAGCCATTATATACAGGATACAGCGTTGCTACTGCAAATGGCAGCCCTATATTGGCGCTTTTCCCCAGACTGTTGCTTTCATGCGTTTCCCTGCCTTCACAAGTAATAGTCACAGATACAGGTCAGGAGTAGGAAAATTTACGAGTTGATTTCCTCAAGTGAGTCTGTCTTGATTCATGGCTGCTGCTATTAGTGGCAACCCCTCATTGAAGCAAAATGCCTAGTTCTGCCTTAAATATATATATATATATGCTAGTCTTGGGGAAGTTTTCCTTTGAGCTTCTGTCTTACAAGCTGCCAAAATATTAGTCATGCCTTTTACCTTTGAAGCTCTACCTCTAATAATCCTAACAGTATGAATTCTATTGACACGTCATTGTTGCTCTACACCAGCTATTTCCAACTTGGTACCATTCAGATATTTGGGGCTAGAAGTCCCAGGTTTCTTAAACGTTAGTTATATTAGTTAGCTGAAGTTGAAAACATCTGGAAAAAACCAGGTTGAAGGAAGCTATGCATGTTCCAGTGTTGGGCCTTTGCACTGGGAATGAGATATAGAACTGTATACTGGTGAGATCTAGTAAATACACTAAATTTGGGGTTAAATCCACCCTGACAGTGAAAAGAATTTACATTGCCACAGTACCCAGAAATGTAGCACTTATATCTATTCCATGGAAAGGTTTACCACTTAATTTTTTTTGCCTCTAAATTTTTTAAAGGCAAGAGTCAATTAAAGCAGTAACAAGCTTTAAAACATGTGAGTATATCCTTAGTGAGTAATTTTGAGTGGGAGGGAAATATCTACATCATTGTTGCCATTAAGATTATTTGAATCAAATTTCCATGCATTTCTTGTCACCAGTAATGGTATGCTTTTCCCTGCTGTCTAGGCCCTATCCACATATCCTTTCTACTCCAGCAGCTCAAACAATGTCTGCCTATGCCGGTCAGACCCAGTATTCAGGAATGCAGCAACCAGCAGTATATACAGCCTATTCACAGACTGGGCAACCTTACAGTTTACCTACTTACGGTATTTGACCTCCAGTTCTTTATTCTATTACGAGTATATTTGGCATCATGGAACTGCTGTGCTTTACCCCCATCTGTAAGAATCAGTTGAAAATTAATTTCTTACACAGATTTGGGTGTAATGTTGCCAGGCATCAAGACAGAAAGTGGACTTTCACAAACACAATCACCCTTGCAGACCGGTTGCCTTAGCTACAGCCCAGGGTTCTCCACACCACAGCCAGGCCAAACACCGTATTCATACCAAATGCCAGGTCAGTAATCCAATGTATTTCATTTGTTTTGTACTATTGTTGAAATATTTTAGAATTTATGCATTATAAGTTAATAAATACTTATTTTGGCTTAAATATGTTACATATCCTTCAGTGGAGTTGTAATAGGTGCATGGGAATTTCCCCTCTTTTGAGTGCATGATAACCTGAAATTGTATCGAGATAATTTTGGGGTTTTTCACATACCTTTAATCTCAGTGGAATAACAGTTTCTTCTATGGTGTTATGAATTATTCAGTTACAAAATTAATCTTTAAAAATCATACTGAAAATCGTAAAAAATATAATGAGAATTATGCAGGCAACATCTAACCAAAGCAAATCTGAAATGGGCTTCTGGCATGTCATATTTTAAATGTTTCTTAGGATAGATTGGGGGTTTTGTAGACTTTCGGAATCCTGTATGTTCTGCTCAGTATTAACATATTTTAAATTATTTTGTATTTATGGATTGTATTTTGTATTTATTTTTATATCTTTAAGCTGTCCTGAACAGTTTCCTGGTCCAGACAGCCTGCAGGCTATAGTGTGATATAGAAAATAAATAAATAAGCAAGCGTGCAAATATTTTAGTCTATTTCTTAGTTGACTATATTTCCACTGCTGCTCACACCTAAGTTTTTATCTGGCATTAGGTTACAAAAATGGGAAAAAATCAAGCTTTTGATTTCTACCAAAATCTTGGTAGAAAATCAAACCCTAGAAACTGTAAATAAGAATATTATCTGAATGTTTAAATAAGGTTGGAACAATGATATGCCTCTTCTTTTCACAATGACTTCAATTCCTTGCTATTTATGTTAATAGAGGAAGAGTGGTATGAAATACTATACACCAGCTTGAAAAAAACCAGTTCTAGTTAGTTTCTACCCTTAAAAATCTAAAAGATCAAAAGGAAGTGGATGGGTTTTCTTTTTCCTCTTTTTTTTTTTTTATAGCTTAAAAGTAGAGTACATGAGTTGCTAGGTTCAGTGTCATACAAATCCAGTTAAAAAGATTTCAGGTAACAGGTGAGTGAGAGAATCTGGCAAGCTGCTTCCAGTCATGGCTAGTAATTCTGTGGTAAGTGTAATAACATATTTTTTTAGATTATGTTCACTTCATGGACTAGTGGAACTTCTCATCCTAGGAATTACCATGTCTCTTCTAACTCTCCATTTGCTTCTCTCTTAGCTATCACCACTTATTTCATCAGTGTTACTGGAAAACTGGTTCTAGGAAGGCAAAGGCCAGGAATCAGTGGAAGGAGGTCATTGACACTGAGTAGGCTTGGTGATTTAGAAAATATATTAGAACATATCATTTCAGCACTTCCATGACTGTGGTATTTGGAAATACTAGGGGGGATTAAAGCAGTAGCAGATTACTAGATCTGTAAAGCAGCAGTTGTTATTTATGATATATAGTTATCAATAATACATTTCCTTAAAAGAAAGCTGGGCTAGCAAATAGAAACACATTTCACTTTTATATATATATATATATATATATATATATATATATATATATATATTTAATTTGAAGCCTTTAGCTTTTTGTTCCTCATTTATTTGCATTATGAGAAATGTATTACTTGGTACTTATGGGAAATTATTCTTTCAATTCTAGGTTCTAGTTTTACACCATCCTCCACTATTTATGCAAACAATTCAGTCTCAAACTCTACAAACTTCAGTAGTTCACAACAGGTATGAGTATTACTGTTTTTCTATGAGGTTCAAAGTACTATATATCTGATTTGTCAATTTAAAATCTTTAGGATGGGCAATAATTGCTGTCTTCTTACAGAATTTTAGATGATTTAAAACATTTACTGTCATTTAAAGCAGTGTTTCTATCATTCCAGGATTATCCATCATATACAGCATTTGGTCAAAACCAATATCCACAGTATTATTCAGCATCAACATATGGAGCATACATGACATCAAACAACACTACAGATGGTACCTCTTCATCATCATCAACATACCAGCTCCAGGAAACTCTCCCTGGGCTGACTAGTCAACCAGGTACAGACCTTCATCCAGGTGATAATTTTTGTTTGTTCCATCCAGTGTATAATTGATGCACAAAATTACTAGTCGTTATATTTTAATAGCTGTGGCTGTTAGCTGATAGAGAAATATGTCAGTCCTGAATATGCTTTTGTTCTGGATTGGTGCCTCATATCATTTTCCTATTTAGCTTCTGTTTTCTCCCCAAAGTGCTTTCTGAAGTGAGCAGGATTTTTGATGATGCAAAAGTAGTCAAGAGGGAGCAATTTTCAACAGAAACTCACTGTATGCCCTGATCTGGATCGCAGGCATGTTCTTTATTGGGACCCATGGCTGCTTCATCTTCAAAATAAAAGTGGACAGCTTAAGCACATTTGTTTAAACATGTGACTAATATCATGCCAAAATAGTTCCACAAGTGCACTGGGCCTCATGCTTGCAAAAATTGCATCCATGTGTGAACGGATACAGTTTCCTCTTTCGCAATGGAAAGAAATAGGATTTGTGGTGCATGAAGGAACATAAGAAAGCCCTTTACTCTCCTTTCCAGCATGCCCAACCCATCTCAAAATACTTTTAAAGCACTGCCACCATCATTCTTCATTTATAACCTTGGTGGAAAACTAATATATTTGTATCAAGGTTAACAATCATTGTTACATAATTCTAGTAATAGTTCCTCTGTGCTTCTTTTCAAAGCCCCTAATTCCCTGAAACAAACAGGACATCAGTCCAAAACTCCTGGTGTGTAAAACTCTTGAAACATAACACAGAAATTAATTGTGGTTTTATTAGGATTCCATGAAGTTGGAGTATCAGAACTGTTTTAAGTTAATCTATCATTTGTTTTACTAAAATATGTCTTATCTAGCAGGAAAACTTTCTAGATGCCAGTTGTGGATCTTCTCACTATGCAAGGCCCCTCAAACACCCACTGTAACCTTTTTTATCCCACTTTGAAGATACAATTGCTTGTCTTCACAGTGAACCTAATACTGTTCTTAGTGTACCTCCGGTTGAGGTATCTTATGTTGCCACCTGCTTGATTTTGTGGGATTAATTTCAGTTATTGTGGGCTGATGTTACAAACAAGATGCTTGCAACAATGCAGTTGGGCACATGTTCTATCTATCCTTGCCCTTATAGACTAATAAAAAGGGTTATCTGGATAGCTCCAGGAAGTGGTAAATCCATCTTTGCATGAAGGGGCAGTACTTGCTGTTCTTAATGAGACAGTAGTGTGCCTACCTCCAAACAAATCCACTCTGGACCCAGTGGTATTTGATCACTATTGCCCAGTTGTGAATACCTCTTTATGAGGTGAGGTACTTGAAAAGCATACATGGAGGATTCTTATAATCAAGGGCCATTTCAGTCTGGTTTTCACCCTGTTTATGGGAGGGAATCAGCTTTGAACATGCTAACAAATTACTTTTATTTGAAGAGGGATGGGGCAGTACAATGCTTTTAATCTTACTCAGTCTTTCATTGACTTTCCATTGCATTTTTACTGTACCCCTAAGATTGATTTAGCTGCGGTTGTGGAGGGTGGATCACTGGATCATCGCTTTATTGAATTGTTGTATTTATTAATTATATAATGTCTTTATCACATGTCTTTTATATTAATTATTGTATTTTTGATTCTGTGAACTGCCCAGAAAGTCTTTAGGCTGATGGGCGGTATAGAAATATAGAATAAATAAATAGATTCTGCTGGATGAGGGCCAGTAAACTGATCTTGAATCCTGGCAAGATGGAAGTCCTCTAAGTGAGTAGTTCTTGAGTCCACAAGGATTGCACTCCCCCCCCCCCCCGAAAGAGCACATTTGTAGTCAGGGGGTACTCCTGGGTCCATCACTGTTGTCAGTGTTGTCCCAAGTCACTGCAGTGGCTAAGAGTACCTTTTAGCATGTCCAGTTTGATTCTTTGGTCCTTTTGGTTTGCCAGGTACAGTCTGTCTTGGACAGGAACAGCTTGGCCCCAGTGACCCCACACACTGGTAACCTTAAGACTATGTGTGGCACCCCTTAAGGGCTCCTGTCCCACCTGGAGACAGAAGAAGAGCCTACAGTGGCCTCATTTCTGTGGAAATCTTGCATTGGGAGATCTTGGGAGTGCTGTTTTCAGTGCTGCTAAAGATAACCTTGTTCCAGGAAGGCTTTCTTCCTCATAGATGTGGTTTCAGTGTGTTTTTAATAATTTATTATTTTGCTTTTTAAAAAATATCCATTCAGTGCTTCAGAATCTTCTTGGTTGTGGAACAGTATATAAATATTATAGATAAATAGACCCAGCCATGAGGAGGGCAGGGGAGAAGTGGCCAGAAAGTAAGCTATGGGAAAACTAAACAAAACAGCTCCATGAATATACATCTCTTGAATTTTCAGTTGCAGATGCTTTACATGTCAGTTTACATGTCACTGACTGGGTTTCAGTGACTCTGGGGTGGGTGACAAATCACATTTGGCTGAGCCTTCCCAGGGGATGCTGGGAAGCTGAAGAGGGGATGCTTCAGTTTACATGTTGTAGTGACCAAAGAACCACACCACACCACAGTTAGCAAGGAGCTTGCCCAGGGCAGTTCTGTTTGCATGCAGCAATGACAAACAGAAGCACTGGGCTGATTGCCCCTGCTCAGTGTCGGCAAACGGCAGCAGGAGACAAGCAATGTTTCATTCAGCTTCCTCAAGAGCTGAATGAAGCCAAAGACCTTATAGCTCATTGCCCTTGCCCAAGGTAGCTGCTAGTCAGTGGCACCCACTCACAGGAAAGGCTGGGGTGGATAATGCATGTTGTACTCACCTTTCTCTTGAGAAAACCAAGCTCAAGTGCAGCTCATTGCTGCCCCACTTTGCTGCTTCCTGCGCAAGGAAAGTGGGAATGCTAACAAGCAATCTTGCTTTCTTGGTATTAGCAGAGTGTGGGGCAGTGAAGCTGGTGACGGCTGCTAAAAGAGCTGCTTGGACAGTGCTGCCTTTGCAGTGGTTGTCTTCCCCATGCTGCTTCCCTCAGTGATCCTACATAATGTTTTTTGGGGTACCAAAAGGAAGACTTAGTGAAAAAGAAAAGAGAGTAGATGCACCAGGACCTCTGTTGAGCCTCATCATTTTTGGAACAGAATGGGGCTCCAGGCTATTGAAACATTAGTCTGGCTTAAAGTGTTGTCAGGAAGATAGTTGACATAGGCTGCAAACCTGTGCATATTTACATGTGAGTAAATACAATGGGACTATCTTCCAAGCAAGCGTACATAGAATTCGACACATACAGTGCAACCCTACACGTCTATTCAGAAGTAGGCACAGTTGATTTCAAAGGGAATTGGTTTGAGGTGTGTACAGGATTGCTGCCTTAAATACTTGAAAAGCTTTTGATAAAGCTCCTCGCCAGAAATTCCTAAGTAAATTTATTGTTAGTTTGCATTTCCCACCATAAAATATGGTTCTATACATATAGGCAATACTTTGAATTTTTAAAGAAGGCATCTTGTCTTTTATAGCTTCCTTGATGCTTTGTGTTATCCATAATGGCATTTTCTTGGAATATGGTTTGTATATTTTCCATTTGGTCACTGTTCTCATATAATTCAACAGCATGTACAACTTAATACAACCGGGACACAAGGTTGCCTACCTTTTAATCAGTTGCACAACCCACTGATCCAGAGCATCTTTCAAATTTAGATGTTTTTGTCTTTTTGTAGCATGTAACTTTTTGTATATTTTTCTCAGTGCACAATCAGTGAACAAAGTGCAAAAAGTGTTGCACAGCAGAAACTGAAAAGCGATCGGAGATGTATTACTGTGTCCATTTGTTTTTAAAATGGCATATGTATTAGCATATTTTCCAGTAACTGTTGTATTTTTGTATGACTTAACTTTCTGGAAAGTAAAGAAAAACTGCCCTGCATGTTCATGTAGTCTGCAGTGCAGAAGATGCCAGTCTGCTATGGAATTAACAAGTCATTTGAATCTATTTCATATGTTCCCTAGCATTGCTTCTGCCAACTAGTCACACTCAGAAAACTGGTGTTTCCTCTACTTTCTGAGTTCCATTTGGAAGGGTTAGTTTCTGTTGTTCCTGCAGTGGTCCTGCAAAGTCAATGGAACCAGCAGAAGCAGAGCTGCAGTACTGAGCACTGTCCCATGCTACAATTTCTCTGATGTCACTCTGATATATTTAAAAGGCATTTCTTACTATAAGCTCATTGCCAAATTCTGTTCCATCCCCACTTCGATGACCTGAAACATTTATACTGTCTTAACTAAGGCATGAGTCACCCACCAGATGCTCCCCAGCTCCTATCAGTTTTCACTGTTTAAAAGCTGTTCAGTGAATTTTCCTGACATTAAGTGTCAGCAGTCTGTTTCCAGTTCTAGTTGCAGTTCTAGTGGAGCCAATCACTTCTGTAAAGATTCTGCTTCTCCCAAAATACTCTGTATGCCTAACAAATCTAAACTGCTTTCCCTGACACTACCACCTCATTCATGCATGGAGACTCTGCAGATCTGCCTTTCTGTTATAGGCTTTGCATGTGAAGTAGTAGCATTTCTGAAATGGACTTCAACATAATTCCTTCTGTTTCTGATTCTAAGGCCTGAGTGCTTGCTGATGCTTAAGTAGCGAAAACAGCCCTATACCCATAAAGAAGGGGTGTTTAAAAAGGCTTAGTAGACTCCAATATTTGCAGAAGTACCAAAACAAAAAGAGAGAAAAATTGTGAAAAATCTCCACCCTGCAGCTAAAACATAAATGTGCATGCATACAACTCATCCCTGGGTCATCCAGGACCACTGGCATTTTTTTTTAAAAAGTTGCAACCAGGGTTCAAATGGCAGAAGCTCCAGCTTGAATGTGCTGAAAAAAGGAAGCAGGAGAGAGAGAGAGAGAGAGAGAGTGAGAGAGAGAGAGAGAGAGAGAGAGAGAGGGGGGGGGGGGAACGAACAAAGATGTGAAATAAAAACCGGAAAAGAAGATGCTTAAGTGAGATAGGAGGAAGAAGAGAAACAATGAAGACAGCAAACAAAACC